ATGGGTACTAGACAACTGATATAAATACATATATACTTTTTTTTTTTTTTAAATACATACATTCATAGAAACACCCAGACCAAATCAAACATCAAATGTTCATGCACACAAATGTTTGACTTGAGCGGGAATCGAACCCGTGACCTTTGGAATAGCAGTCCGTTACACAAACCACTACGCCATTCGGTCGTCAGCTATTTCGATAAATTCACCTCTCAAACTAAAATCTATAATGCCGTTTAGATTTATACACAGCGTGTCCAGGAAATATATATATATACATAGGTGCATACAATCAAGAAACAACCCGCCTTCTGACGCTTCTTCTGGTTTTAAGGAGTTAAATGCTAAATACGATTTTAAGAACATATAAAATGTAAATGCTGTGCAAAGTTATAAATGTATGATAAGAAATACATGTCACTACTGTACTGGGTTAAAGAGATATATTTTAAAGAGGGTAAAAGAGATGACACGATTTTTTCAGAGGGTGGCACGAGAGGGGGAACATCGTATGACACCAATTTAAATAGGGTCAAGTCGTGTGACGATTTTAAGTAGTGGTAAAATACATTAGTCATAGGCGCCTAAAGGACAATATCCTGCTTATATGCTGTGCAATAGGTTTATTAGCTTGGTATGCATGTATCTTTGTATGTATGTATGTGTGTAAAGGAATCTTCGAACGTGATTTTGAACCACTTAAACGTCGAATTAATTTGATATTCGCACACTTATCAAGGACCGATGACAATACAATAATTTGATAATTTTGGCCGATTATTCTGATCAGAATTATCAGGTTTAACGACTTTTTCCATACCTAAAAATACTGTAGTATTTTTTGTTACGTACTAAGAAGCGTGTGATATGTGACTTAATTACTTGTTACTTGTTTTAGTCTAAATGAAAAAATAATCATGATTAATGACTAAGAAAACAAGAATAAATTATAGTTTAAAAGCTTTTCAAGATATTTTAAAATATAAAAATACCCCACACATTTTTACGATAATTTGATTTTTCTTTTTGAACTCTCCCTCATGATAGCGTCTTTGTAAAATACTCTAAAAGGCCGTTGTGACTCCTGAGTTGCAGACGTTCATGGGCGGCGATGTTCACTTTCACCCGTCTGCTCGTCTGCCCCCTCTAAAATAAAAAAATATTATAAACAGATGACACACCTGATTGTAATTAACTCTATAGCTCATGGGTATTTTCAGTTTGAGTACCTACGCTATACTGCACTCACGCCGCATTCCCGTACGGGGTAAGCAAAAATGATAGTACGCTATTTACAAAGATCCTGGCATACAGTTAACGCTTGGTCACATTTACCAAGCCTTTTATGCACGCTCGCGGGTTACGGATGCTTTTAACGAGGCCCTTCTTCAGTTTACTGCCGATCTGGTCACAACTAAGGCGATGAAGTTTTATTAAAAATCGTTACGTTACGTTACGAAACAGCTAGATAATAAAAAATATAATAGACGCAAAAGTAAAGCGTCTCTGCACATTTTTTTTCAATATTCTGACTTACATATGTTCTATCCACCGAGTGAAAATATCAACGTGTACAGTATTTCCCGTTACGAAGCGCAATGAGTGAAAACGTAACAAGATTTATGTGTATTGGACCTATCTGGACTAATCCGCATCGACTGCAGAACCAATCAACGGCACGAATGTTATAAATGTTTATTGCATTTTGCACTAACAAACCGTGGGATAGCCATGCTTTAAGTCACACAAATGGGTTGGCTCGACCGGAGTAATACCTACGCATCACAGAAAACCAGTTGTTAAGCAGTTCTTTCATTGCTTTTCACTGAGTGAGTGAGGTTAGCGGCACCCATAAATCTCCCCTTTTTTCTGTGCGGCACTCCCCTTGGATACCACCCACCAATGGGGTGGTTATATCGGACTCGAACCGACTGAAAACCGCACGCGGTCGCCAGGTACCAGTAGCATGAGAACCAGGTATACCCTAGAAAGGAAAGCCCTGCTATCCTAATGTACCTCGGGCCATATACGACCTCACCTTCTCCTAATTTTGGGCGAGGAGGACTCAAAAGGCAATACACTTAAGATTCTTGAGTTGCAAGTATCCATGGGCGGCGGTTGTCACTTACCATCAGGTGACCCGTCTGCTCGTTTGCCCATTAGCAAAAAACTAGCCGATGCATGAGTCTTAGCCTACAATTTTCACATTTGTACTCGTATTATACCTTAAGTTCCAAAATATGCTGCAAAATTAAAATACCACTCTCATCACTCTTACTGCTCTTTTATACATATATTTCTTTCTCTGTGCCTCTCAATACCTGAGTGTTCCGCACAAATTACTCCCTATTGTCCGCCAATTACGTCATGATCTATTTAGAAATGTGTAAATTTGGCGCCATTGGTCTCCGTACTAATTTATTCTAATTCATACTTTCCTTATCTTTGTTGCTGTCTATTGATGACACAATATAATTATTAAAACATATAATCGAATTGCCGATGTCGATAACATTTTAAGGGTCCTAGCTAATAAGCATTTTAAAATATAAACTTTTGATACGTTACTCATCACTTTCACTGTCGAGATTTCGTTCTAGAAAGAAACAGAGTGCAAAATAACTATCGAAATACATAAAACTGTACAACGTACTCAGGGTTAACTCAATGGGAAATTTCTATTACGAGTGGCTACAAAATAAAGCCATTCATATCGTGCATGTCTTTGATTTTAATGGCTTATCGGCAAGTTAGTAATTAAACGCTGGGAACACTTAATTGATCGCATCCAGGAATTCTAAATTTATTATAGTTATAAAAATACACTTTATTAATGCATAGTTGCTCTTGTTATTCAGATTATGTATGTATATTATATTCTTTTTTTCGACCGAGATGACTAACAAGAGATTATTTAAGCTTAACGACACTAAACTCAAACTCAAACTTCTTTAATTCATAAAAAAATTAAAATTGTTTGAAATCGTCTTTTAATCTGACTCAAAGTCATAGATCAACACACGCAAAAGCAACAATCTCTGTTTTGTCAAATAGTAAGCATATAAATTTAACAAAAACTAAACCCATACAAAATCTATGATATTCCTGTGCCGATCTGCAACCGCCCCTTTCCAAGGGGTTGAACCTTATGAGAAGAAAGGGCAAACAAACTCATAGCACTAAAATATATAATACTAAAACAGAAACCGCAGACTCAGCGAACAGTCTGGGCTTTCTGTATATACTCGTAGATTAGGCCAGACAATTTGTTCCTATAAATTTAGAAACGGGGATGAAGATATTACCTGAGAATATTCTCATACTCGTACATTTCAAGAATAATAATCTCTTTAACCCTTTTATAAACATTGTCTTCTTTGCATCGTGACCTATTAGTACATCCATATTTGAGTTGTTTGATCACATTTAAGTAAAGGGAAAATACCCTATTCAGATTTTTTAATTGGGTCGGCTCTTCTATTCTCGTCCTTCGTCACAGACCTATGGGTTGGACAAAGTTGGGGTTGACTTTTGGTCCCGAGTATTTTTGTACACGTGCTTAATATTAGTAGATGACGAAAGACGTGTACATGTTATCTACTATTATGTTTGTTTATTTAAGAGTTGCGTTGCCGAATATTTAATGAATACCTGTAATTGTTATCCCAGATTTAAGAAGGATTTCCCAATACGTAAACTAAAAGAAAAAATCTAGTCGAATCATTATTCCTAATGACGGTTTAATTTATTTTAAAGTATACTTGCAGTTTATTACAATTTGTGCCAATTTTTACTGCTACAATGCAGTCCGTATGGAAAACAAACAATATTGTATTATTGTTCATCAGTTGAATTTTTCTGTCTGCGGACTCGAGTCATCTGACGTTCCATTGAAAGCGTATTTCCAGCGTTGTCATGCCAACAGTTCATTAGGACGGGAGCCACGTCTCGCCGTCTGTCCGCCCATTCAATTCTCTGCACTGTGGACCGAGCCACATACTTGCCGATATTTGTGTCGTTAACAAAGGCCAATAATGAAGCCATTTAGGCCTCCACTAACTAGAATTGCGACACCGTATTTTAATACTTCCAAAACAAGCATTTATAATGAACTGATATTTTTGGAAAAGAGTACTTATGCAGTTAAAGTAAATGCGGACCTTCTTCTGGTTTTTTCTGCTTCGACTGGTTGGTTGTGATAGTAATAGACATTCTAGACAGGAGCTAAACCAGAGGTCGTAGTTTGATTCGGTTAAATAATGAACACGATTTTTTGCCAGGGTTTAAGTTATCTGTTTGAGTGTCTATTATCAGCTTTCTGGTTATCATAGTACAGCCTTTACCCAGTGTGTGACCAAACTGCTATGTCTGAGATGTGTATAGTTCTTATTGTTATTTCGTTTATGAGTATCAGATAAAAAAAAAACTGAGCGGTATATGATGACGTCACAAGTTCAACCGTTTGATGCACAAAAGTATTTATGTCTGAAACTGTTGGACTTTATTCACCAACATGCTATGTTATCATAAAGTTATGTTATGTTTTCATAAAGTAATCTCTAATGTTTATACAGTATGTAGTGGCTTTTATAAAGCTGTAATTTGCTCTCATTAACCCCTGGTTGTTGCCAACAATATAACCAATCTAAATTGTTTATTAATAGCTTAGTTAGACTAATAATAACTATACACACTATTCCATAATGACCAATGGTTTGTGTAGGGGGTCATGCGACCATGCGACGCCAAACTTAGTCCCGCGGTGGGCGCCAACTATTGATTCTTTAAGTAAGCCTATTTTAGCAACTGCTGCATTGAAACAACAAATCCTTTATTGTGTTGTTTGTTCAGCAGTTGTTTAAGTACTATATTATCGTGAACTTCTACGATGTTTTGCTTTATATTTAGATATTGTGGATAAAAAAAAATGTTTTTTATAATAATATTCATAGTTTTTGATAATAATATTCATTGAAATATAAGTATTTGAATTCAAAATGATGTTAGTATAATAAATACATACATTTTTCTATATAAACAGTCTTAAATCGTTCGATCGATTGATATATATATATATATGTATATTTAAAACACAATATTTATATTTTGTTTCTTATTTCTAGATGCACACTACGTTTCCCTTCCACGAACATTCGGCTAGAGTTCCAGTCGCTGGTCGAAGAAAGTGGAGCCGGTGGCAGCTCCGCACCGATGCCACCACTCCGTATCACCATACCTACGGACAATGATGGCCGTAGCCCAGCGCCTTCTCCTACAGGTTGGTTCTGATAACGATGATTAAAAACATAGTATGCTTCTGTTACATCCACTTGATAGAGCATTTTTACTCTTCAGTAGATCATAATAATGGTGAATAAGTATAGATAGTTCAACTCAGTTGTGCTGCTCGGACGACGACTGCCGCGTCACTGCCACACGAATGAAAGTTGTATATTTACAAGCCCACGCACACATTGGGTCGCGCGCACAACTGAGTTGAACTATCTATAACAGTAATTGTGTGGCAGCAAAGGATCGGTTGTTGTGGCGAATCTTGGAGGAGGCCGTTGTCCAGCAGTGGACGTCTGTCGTCTGAGATGATGATGAGTTGTAATAATAGTATAGTAAAAATATCGAGTAATAATAACCTGGCACATGTCCACATCGCGATCTAGACTCAAATTAAGCAGAGCTGCTATACTGTTCTTGAATACAGTTTATATAGATGTTTTATGTAAATACATACATATTATATTTTGTTGTTGTTGACCAAAGTAAATAGATGTATGTATTATGCATACAAACATTTGAACTGAGCGGGATTCAAATACCCAACCAACGGCATGACAGTCGTATGATTTTTTTTTTTTTTTTTTTATTTAAAAAGACAACTCCCGCATTAGGAATAAATCCTGTGTCGCGGGGGACTTTACAAACATACATGAAACGGACACAAAGAACACCCAGACTCAGAACAACAATTTGTGGATCACACAAAGTGTCGTCCCATGTGGGGTTTGAACCCACAACACTCGGCGTAGTAGAAAGCGGCGTGGTGAGAGCTTAAACCACTACGCCATCCGTGCAGTCACTTTACCAGTGACAACAAGTGATAAAATTTAATGCTAATCTAATTGTGTAATATTTCAGGCACAATAAGTGCGGCGAACAGTTGTCCGACATCACCACGCGGCGCTGGCACGTCGGGGCGAAGACACGCAGACTTGGGGCTGGTCGCGCACTACGCGGTGCTCGCTGATCAGGCACGACCCAATTCCAATGGAACTGCTGTGAGTGGTCATATTCAAACAAATATCATCTAAATTAGACATGCAGAAAGTAAAGTCGAATGCCATTTTATTGTAATTTTTTATGAAGCATTAAAGATTTTTTGTCAGGCACAGATAAATATTCAATTTGGCTTTATTCGAATAAATACTTAGCTTTCAATCGAGATTCGCGTGTTAAAATGAAAATAAACATTTCGTTCTAATGTATCAATAAACCTCCTTTCTAAGGAGAGGCCTATGTCCAGCAGTGGACTATTAAAGGCTGTTGCTGTGATGATGTGATGTGAAAGTTAGTAAAATACCTTTTATTGTATGACTACTTTTTAAGAGAGGCCTATGTCCAGCAGTGGACTGCGAATGGCTGGTGATGATGATGATGAAGACTAGTTTTTTTATGTTACCAATAGAAATAAGGTAACAAAGTAAACCAAAATACTAACGTAATGTAAATTAAAAAAAAAAAAACAGGTTCTTTTGCTTATTTTTGACAGATGAAAAATTATACTGAAACGACAGCTAAAATATGACAAGCTATGGATACTTTGGGTTTTTTTAACAATGATCGGTTTTGTAGCTAACAACTTACCGATTACTTACGTTGTGATGTGCACAGACAACGATATTGGATACATCCTTGAGGGGCGCCCGAAGAGAGAGACAAGAGTTGTTGGCAAACCTAAAAAGTATTTTAATAGAAAGGCAATTGTCACCTATGTTTAGATTCTATTGTCTATTCACTTGCAGGCGTCGTCTTCGAACTCGGAGTCTAGCTACGGAAGTACGCGGGACGTGCGGGAACGTGAACGCGAACGCGAGCGCGAGCGTGACTCACGAGATGACGCCAAACCGCCGTATTCTTACGCGCAGCTGATTGTGCAAGCGGTGGCATCTGCGCCCGACAAGCAGCTCACCCTGTCGGGCATCTACAGCTACATCACTAAGCATTACCCTTACTACCGCACCGCGGATAAAGGCTGGCAGAATTCAATCCGTCACAATTTGTCGCTCAATAGGTATGTTACCATTCCTTTCTATAAAATTTAAGCCACAGTAACGTCCATTAATGGTCCTTCGAGCCGACACCATTAAACAAGAACAAAAATCCGAACAAAAATAACATCAACCATAATCGACCAACGGCCAAACCTAAAACGGAAATGTAAAAGACTTTCTTAAATTCCAGATACTTCATCAAAGTACCGCGTAGTCAGGAAGAGCCAGGCAAAGGCAGTTTCTGGCGTATTGACCCGCAGAGCGAAGGCAAGCTCATCGAGCTCGCCTTCCGTCCGCGACGCCCCAGGGGGGTACAGTTCCGCGCACCTTTTGGACTATCCTCCAGGTACCACACTCTATAAAGTATTTTTAAACAAGATTTCTCACTGATTAGGGTTATGTAAAGTCTTGTGACCAGAATCTTCTGGCCAGAATCCTTTTAGGATTAGCAGGGTTCTCCTTTCGCGAAATTCTAGGTTTGTAGGTCTTACTTATATACGAGGATGATTCCTAAAAGGAAATGTGTTTCCAACTTTTTGTTAGTTCAAACCGAGTTGTACAGTTAAATCACAAGTCCAGTTTCAGGGACAAACACTATGATAATACCATCAATATCCCCATTTATCTACGCAGGTTCAATCTTCGGTTATGACAGTATTTCGGAATGAGGTGTCAATGAGATTAAGGTGAGACAGTCGTTAGAAAACCACCATAGATTTCTATTAGTTTCAATCCCACGAAGGAATAGATCCTTGTCTAGCTCCTGAGCTATGGTTGTACGATGTAATTTACATTATTGTATTATATTAGTTTAGTTCTTGCAATTCACAAATTCGCGTAACCGTTGTTTGTAGTAAGAGTGTATCTGTATTTGTAAAGTATTAAATGTTGTGTGTGCGTGTTTACTTTTAAATAAAAAAAAAGACTTTGATGTTCATATGCACGCACACGTAAAATATGGGTGCGCATTCGTGAAATGCAAGAACTGTACAATATTATAACTAATGCTATTGTTTTAAATGTTGCAGGAGTGCGCCGACGTCTCCGTCTCAGGTGGGAGTGTCTGGCCTCGTGACGCCCGAAGAGTTGTCCCGTGAACCTACTCCAGACTTGTTCCCGCCAGAGGAACAAGAACCACAGGTTAGTGGCTCGTATCAGTTACCGTATAATATTGTGTGCTATGGAACATTCATAACATAACACATTAATAAAAAGTTTCTACTTATTTATTTCCATACCCTTTTATCCAAAACATAGTAATTAAATCTAAAATTCTTCAATAATGTGTTGAAAGTAGAAAGTTTGTTATTCGGCTTTGTTATTTTTCATGAAACAGAAGGAATGTTTATTCAATAACAACTCAATACAACCGTGCACCCCACCTTGTTGGTCTTTCGAACCGGAAACTTCAATAACTCACAGTAATTGAACTGTGTCACTGTTTTTTAAAAATGTAAAAACTAGAGAAAAGTACTTTTAAAAATATAGTTTTATACTCTGATTAGTTTTACCGAAATAACTTAAAATCCTTATGGTGTTGTTCCACAGTCGAACCAGCAGCGCTTGAGCAACAACAATAGCCAGTCCGCGCAATATCTGTTCCCGCAGCGCTCCGGCGTCAGTCAGAGCGCGCCCGGATCGCCCGGTATGTCTTCATCGGTGGTACTCTTCCACCAACCCGACCTAAAGTCAGTAGATTCATATTATCAAATAAAAAAAGTGTCTGTCTGCCGCATTTTGGAAGTGTTTTCTTGAAGTTTGTTCTATTGTACTAGTATTGTTTTAAGAGTATAAACAATGTGCTCGCAGGTCATGGTCTCGCGTACAGCACCGGAAGCGGGCTGGTGATGGCGGGTCACCAGATAACAGTCGTCACCAACGGAGCAGGAGGAGAGAGAGAAGGTAATTGTATGAGTAATAGGTCTCACATTTATTTATTACACGGTATGAGAACATTCATATAACATATTGACTTAATCGATAGTCAAACATTTTAATATTAAATTTTGGAACACTGTAATGTTGCTTTTCTATCATCATCAACTGCCTCTAGTAGTCCACTGCTGGACATAGGCCGCTCCTGTGAAAGATGGTTTTGGCCTCCTATACCACGCTGGCCAGACGGGTTGGTATAGGGTTTGTTTCAAGTTTTCCTTCTCTTTGCAATACTGTTGTCCTGCATAGTTTCCTCATGATGAATATGCATGGTGATACTCCTCCATTGGTTTTCTTAATCCGTAATAACACGGATACACAACATTCTATTATAATGTTGTCAAATAAAGATTTTGTAGCTTTAAGAATAAACACAAAAGGCAAAAATTTAGACTTAGAAATATCTAAAATAAAATTGAGCTGCCTCAGGACGTCTGTCCGATGTCATAACGTTACGACGCATGCTGTAATGACGTATTGCCACGTCAATAGCCGGTCTGATGAGTGATACTGGGTATTACTAGAAATAACTTCCATCAAGTAACATCTGGGAACATTATTATATATACTACCAACTGGTTGCTAAGGGATAAAAAATATGAAAATAACTATATAGTTACATTATAATTTGTGTTACAGAGAAGTACGTAGTAGGCACGACCGGTGGCAACCTGGTCTCGATTCAGGAGGAAGACGTTCCCGCCAATGTGGTTATACACCAGCATTCACCTTATTATGGGTTTGTATTTGTTTATCACTACTAATAACGTGAGTTTATTAATTAAAAATGTAGATTTTTGTATTCATCGGGTTTATTTTGAAGAGCGGTCCTGATGCGTCGATTAAAAAGCTTAACAAACAATCTCTTACTCAACATCTGGGCCTCAATTCTGCTATTTTAATATTGTATCAATAGAATGTCGTCTGAACAGTTTTCGTATTCTGCTATCAATGGCTTATCATGACTTATCACTGAACTGCAAACTGATGCAAATGTCATCGATGTTTTTGTAATAGTATGGTAAACGGTACATTTTAAATTTGTAAGGAAATGATCTATTAAATTTTTAAGATATAGTAATGTTGTTAATCACCATTGATCCATTGTCACTATATCGACAGTCTATTGTCACAGTGAATTTATATGTTAGTGGAATACTGATATTTTGACCGATGTTAATGGCATCTCAATAGTTTGTCAATAGAATGACAGTAGCTTGTGTGTTAACATAGACTAGCACAATTGGGGCCCTGATTGTTTTGGGTGTTTTATTGAAAACACCAGAAAATTTTTCAGATAGACTGTCCGAAATACAGAAAACAATATAATATACTTGTATCCTAAAAAGTGTCGTCGGTGGTGGGTGGATAAAGATTTTTAGATGAAATAACAATTTCGTTGTCGTTCTTTCCTCTTCAGACCGAAGAAAATTTAAATCAATCCATAAAATTTTCATTAATGAAAATGAGCTTGGAGGTAAAAGTATGTATTTATAGATAATTCGTATTAAAGATTATTCTTTATCGTTTTCAGTTTAATAAATGTTATTATTTACTAGCTGTACCCTGCCACGCTTTGCATTGACATTGGTCGCATTCATGATTATGATGATTGATACAAACAATCTATGAAGCGGGTTGTATTTTGTGTCAAAATTTGAGCACAATCAATAAAGTGTACACGGACCAATTTAACGTTTTAGATATATAGATTTTCAAAATAAACATATGTATGTATATTATTATAAGTGTTAGTAGAAGAGGGATGTATGAGACGTGTTCGTGTGTTTCCAGCGGCGGCTACGGCGGCGCGGGCGGCGCGGACGAGTGCGGCGCCGTGGGCGGCGAGCTCGTCATCGAGGACGCGCCCGCCGACCCGCCGCACAAGCGCGCCAGGCACGCCAATGTGAGCACGCACGACCACACACATACACACACACATATACACACACACACACATACATACACACACACATACATACATACATACACACACACACACACGCACTTTATACAACGCATTATTTCAGAACCGTCTACCGAATCGATGTCGATGTCGAATCGATTAGTTTTTTAAAGACTAAAAAAAAGATCCGACAGCAGACCTCCGTCATTTGTGAACTGATTTAGAGCATTTTTTATAATTTAGGATGTATTATTGTCCGTTCAATTCTCTCTAAGAATAGCAAATTAAAAAATAAGGAATACAGTTTATTACATTCATCATGATGACGTATGAGCATTGAAATCAGTTATACTTAAAAAAAAGAACGTTGATTATTACTCTAAAAATAAACACACACACACGCAGCACACAGGCTATTACATACGTTTTTCAACAGTGTTAGTCGATAATTTTCTTTAATTTACTTTTATAATCTTTATTTTATTTTTGCTGAAATATAAAGTAGTCACCATGATCTCACTAAAATGTTATTTATACATCTCGGCTATTATTAGAAATAATTTCTGCTCGTTAAAGATCGATAACTCAATGTAACCCTAGATCAAAATAATATATTAACAAACAACCCGGCATCGCAAAAATAAGAACAAAATGATGAGTACTTATGAAATCGTTAAATTTAAAGTTTGTCATTATGAAAACGACATATTGTATGTGTTGAGAACTCAATTACTTTTCGGTTTGTTATTTTTACGATACGAATGTTAAGAGAATTGTTATTTATTTTAGATTATTTTTTCAATTAGCCGAGTAACAAACAGTCGTTGCGCGTGTTGCAGATGTCGGAGCTAGAAGATCGACGTGCATATTGACGCGGGCCCAGCGCCTCCGCCCCGCGGCCCGGAGGCCCCGCCCCGTCACCCGCCGTGAGGCCTGCCGGCCGCGTAGCCCGGCTCGGCGGCTCGTCGGTGAGGCCAGGCGGCCCGTCGGCGCGGCCCGCCAGCTCCCCAGTGAGGGCGGGCGGCTCGTCGGGCCGGCGGCCCTCCATCCTGCGGCCGCCGCGCAGCCCGCGCAGGGTCGCGGCGCGGCCCCTGCAGTACGCCACACGAGGCCAGTGAAGTGGCCGATCAGATTTTTTTAACACACTCTCGACTCTATGAAACGTTTCTAGAGGACAATTTATTTGTGCTCCAAGAGTAATAACTCTTTTACTCTCTACATTATTAAGCGTTTGTTGAAAATATATTGAAATATCCTTGTTTCATAAAACAATAAAGTATTCGTAAACTGTACTGGACTAAAAGGTATAACTACGATATATAAAAATATTGCATTACCAAAACATTTTTGACAAATGCTTAACAAAATAGATTGTACGTCGGTCGGTAAGGCTCAAATTGATTTTAGTTGTATAAAATCTGATTGGCTCACAACAATTGCTTTGGCACGACACGGCATGTTGTGACTGTTGAATTCTCGCTCTCGTTCGAAGCGAGGACATAGCAATAATAGTGATACGCGAACAATTGAACCAGACAGTGGTAGTGTTAGTGTTTGTGTGTTAGTTATAAACATTACTTAGGCGCCAAACGAGCTTTAAGGTGAAGGACGATTATCTGGTATGATGGAACCGTTTTCGCCGTATTTTATATTGTAACGCTTTGCAATTAGAACCGTACCGTATTCTTTATAAAAGACTCCTTGTACCCTGTATAAAATGCGTTAATGTTGTCTATGCCCACATTTGAATTTCGAATAAATCAATCACAATTTGTAGCCTTTTACAAATCGCTTTAGTTTAGGCTCATTTGTACGCGAATTAGTTTTATGGCGCGATCCGCGTGTTGTCTGTGCCTATCTCTACTGGGAGATGACGTCAGCGTACGTCAGTAACTGTCAACTTGATGTTTTTTTTTCTTTTGAGTGATTCTCAACTTGGTTGCAACAAGCTACTGTAACAGCGTTAGGGACGGACAGGCTTGGGCGACCTGCTTATATTTTTTTGTAAAGTATCATTATTAAAAACTAGTAATAAATAAAAAGGTTAATATTGAAAAATTTCAAGGTTAGCTTTAACAAACAACCGCTACAATTATTTTTTTACAAAATGCATTAAAATGTTAAGTTTATTCCTCCTGCATAACAATATTTTATTTTACATATTTTTTTTCACAATGTACATGGTACTGTGCTGTCAGCTTCGAAAATATTGGAGAACAAGTATTGCCATACTTAAATTTAATTAAATACGATTGGGTGTCTATAATATATTCTTTGGTAACGACCGAGGGTTACAATGTCTTGAATCTCAAGATGAAAAAGATTTAAAAAAAAAATTGAGGCTGGCTTAAACTTAGGAGAGTGCAATTATAGTAAAACATCATTGCTATTAGTTTAATTAATATGTAAATAATTATTAAAACATCGCTTGGAGATAGTCGATCACTGGTAGTTCTTCTAGAAAGTTCTCAATATTTCTCTTAAGTAAAAACCTGTACAACACACTACATATAAACCAATGATAATAGGCTTTAGTACACGTCCTGAAACTCCTCACTGACTTTACAGTCCGTTCGACGTGCAGTTCTCTACAAAATTCTTTGTAAGATGTCATTTTACATCGTGCAACCCAAATACAAGGTCACAGGGTCTAGAATGATTTTTTTGTGTACCCAGTAGCTCTCGACTTCGGCGTTGCAACGCCGAACGCGGTCACCGCGGTTCACAACTCCTCAAACTCTTGCAAAAGAAGTCTTTATTTAAATGATGTTATAGTAGAATTGAGCTGTCGGAGATATTACATTTAGTTTTCGAAACATATTCGGTATTATTTTGTTTATATAGGTCACAAAGTAACAATTATGATAGTAAAACCTACTTACAGAAAGGCGTTTGGGAAAAGAATCAGGTTAGCCATTTAAATCGGAACAAAAGTGCTGTAAGCTTAATCCCCGTGCCCATGTAGTAAAAGGTACTTTATCAGATTTCACCTAGTAGTGGCATTCTCGCGTAGAGACGAATATCTGAAATCTATTCTAATCTCTATAGACTTTATAGTCTATACGTGACGCTAATAGATGCAATTCGGTCGAAATGTCGGTCGGCATTGTGACTCAGTGTCGATATACACCAGTAATATGTGTGTATAAAATCATTGAAATTTAAAAGTTTTACACAGCAGTGAATACTCTGTGTTAGTCGTTTTGTGTAAATAATAATAAAAATAGTATTCCTTCTAGCGGCTGAACGGATTTTCTTGATCCAGTTGCCTTAAGAAAGATCTAATTTAAATCGGTTTATCCGTTCAGGAGCACACAGATAAAAGACGCGCATACATTAAATTAAAAACATCAATCCTTTTTGCGTTGAGGGTTAAATATACATAACCTACGTCGATTGACAGTATCCAAGCGATTGTATTCACTGTGTCTATACCAGGGTTGTTTATAAGAAAATTTACTGTATGACATCTCAGAGACTACGACTCCGAGATGGTAATGTAACAAATGTATAGGTACAATTCTAATTAAGCATACGAACCTTGTAGTTTAACTGTTCAATTGTACAAGAGAACGACTCAATTTTATAAATACTGTACCGCATTTGTTCTCTTGAGTGACGCCTTGAAATGGAGCCCTTTTTGGGTACAAAACAAGCGGGCATTTCCTAAACACGCACCAGTGAAAAGCTTCAATATACTTAGTTAGTGTTTCTGACTGCTAAGCCAATAGTCGTGGGTTTGATTCCCACCAAGGACAGATCATTTTGTAATCAGTACGATCTTGTTCTGTTGTCCGGGTGTAATTTATAAAAAATATATACGTATTTATGAAATAAATATGTTTATCAGCAGTCTGGTTACCATCGTACAGGCTCTGTCTAGTTTGGGATCAGACGGCCGTGTGTGAGATGTGTAAAGTTATTATAAATATTGAATGAAATCGCAAACAAATATATTTAAAGGCCATTTTTCTTTGCACCGATCCAAACCGACATCTTTGCACCGACTGCACGGATGGCGTGGTGGTTTAAGCGGTCACCACGCCGCTTCCTACTACGCCGAGTGTTGTGGGTTCAAACCCCACATGGGACGACACTTTGTGTGATCCACAAATTGTTGTTCTGAGTCTGGGTGTTCTTTGTGTCCGTTTCATGTGTGTTTGTAAAGCCCCCGCGACGAAAGAAAAAAAAAAGAAAATTGTCGCGGGGACACAGGATATATTCCTAATGCGGGAGTTGTCTTTTAAAAAAACAACAAAATGTTACTGTTTTTTTTGTTATATGACCCACATTTCTCTACTATTAAACATTGTTATTCTACAAGCATAGTATGACTACATATACACATATATTATCAAAATATTTTATACACTCGTTCGCTATTTATTTATAAAATATAAACATTTGTCAGTTTTCCTTCAGTTTCAAGTGTTAGCTAAAAACACCGTTATCCGGTCATAGGTAATTTAAAAACAGGTGCAACGATCCTCCAAGCTGTAACTACTTAACTATGTAATCAATTCTACTTAGATAAAATGTATAGAAAATATAGTTATTCAAACTTTTAAACTAAATTGTACTACGAAATGTCATATTCAAGACTATATAAAAAATAAAATTACAAAATACATCTCTCTATATATATAAATAGTAATATATATAGTAATGGTAGTTGGTCTGTGTACACTTCAAAAACTCATAAAGTTTTGCACCGATTGAGTTCAAATTTTGACACATATATGACATGCTTTAAAGATGGTTTTTATTTCTCATTTCTCATCAATTCAACCACAATGTGTCACAGCGAGGCGTGGCTGGGTACAGATAGTTAATAATAAAAATGACACAATACACATATAGTTAACTGAACGTCATTTCGAATAGTTTAGCCTTATACCATGACCAAATAGACCAGTGTTAAGTAATTTTTTCCTTGCTTTTAATCGAGTAAGTGAGATTAGCCCCCCCTCTTCCTAAGTCTGGGAGGGGAAGGCTGAAAGGGCTGCAACACACTAGTGAGTATTGAGTTGCAAGTGCCTATGGACGACGGTAGTCACTTACTATCCGAGGGCCGAGTGCAAGTTTATTAAACATCGACTCGCTTTCGACTGCGAGCGCGTTTAGAATTGCGATTGGTGGAGATTTCAGTGCGGGCCAATCGTAGCGCCGAACGCCGTCAACGTGACGATCTACTAGATGTAAAATTAAACTCTCACTTGGCCCTTAGATCTGCTCGTTTATTCCCCAATATCATGAAAACATAGTTAGCAATTGGTTTGTCTTTGAGATTTTTGATTTTAAATCATTATTTATATTTCATTTAATATCTATATGTAGATTTATTTTATTTTAACTATACATATACGATATATTTTAATAATAGCGCCTTATAACGTCGTTAAGGGTAGTTAGATTGTGGTAATCGTTCATATTCGTATCAGAGAGTAACAATAATACTGTGTATATAAAAACTTAGACAATTTTTTGGAATGATTGTTGCACCTGAAAAAAATAAAATAAAAAAGTTTAGGACAAAATTTGTACTGTAACACGAACATATACGCATAACCACATAATAGATACGACGCTTTATACGTTTATATACACTCAAAAGTATATAACAACTATGTATACTATGTATCAAGGTATTATTTAAGGTATATATCAAATACATATATACAAAATTAAAGACATTTTCGTTAGGCCGGCTAATGTACCTACTTTGATCTTGTGATTTAGCTTAGAATGAACAATATTTTCTTTCTCGTTGATAATTTCTCCCTTGGGTTAGGTGTATAAACATAATTATAAATAAATAAATAATATAGTTATTGAATATGTAAAGTTATATTCCCTAGTAGTTTGTAATATGTTATTAATATTATAGATAGTGTATAAATCGCATAGTTGTACGGTTAATTATAATTTAGCATTTAATGTACGCGTATATATGTGAAATGTAATTGTTTACCGAGAGGCTTTCCTTAATTGAACAAATTTGAAACGTAGATGTGTCGAATATCGATAGAAGAACATTTCGTCGGTCGATACAACTGCGGCCCGTCAAACAACTAGATTATCGATCGATAAAACTGCAGTGTATCGATCTATCGAGAGATCTGCTGTTTGTTTATCGATAAGAATGCTGTTTGTTGATCGATACAAGTACTGTAAATGTTTTTTTATATTTTAACACTGACTTATTAGATATAAATTGTCGATGTTAATCGATAAAAGTGACAATATATTGTCGATATCATTACTTATCGAATTTCGATATTTGTCTCAAGTGTGTATAATATTAAAGTTGACACGTCATTAATAATAGATGACACTAAACAATAAACTCGAAGCAATGCATACAATATTTTAATGGTCCCCGTGTTGGTGATGTATGAATATTGAGATAAAAAAATGGGGGTAATTGTAAAAAAAAAAGTGTATAGAAAAATGAAAAC